CCTCTGTTGACTAAGGCTGTAGATGGAGAGATTCTTTATCTGTACCTGGGGATTTCAGATGAGGCCATTAGTTCAGTCCTGGTGAGGGAGGCAGCCAAGCAGCAGAAACCAATCTATTATATCAGCAGTGTATTACATGGAGCAGAGCTGAGGTACCCTATAGCTGAGAAAGCAGCCTTAGCAGTTGTTACTTCGGCCAGGAAGTTGAGGCCATATTTCCAGTCACACCCAATCATCGTTCTTACAGATCAACCTCTCCGACAGATTCTGCAGAAACCAGAGTGCTCTGGAAGATTAATTAAGTGGGCAGTAGAACTGGGGGAGTTTGAGATCACGTTTCAGCAGAGATCGACCATCCGAGCTCAAGCACTCGCAGATTTCATTGTCGAATGCACTCCGTGTCCCTCCACCTCCACTCCAGAACCCACCGAATGGACCTTATATGTTGACGGAGCCTCTAGTAGCAAGGGTTCAGGGGCTGGCGCTCTCTTGATTGGTCCAGAGGGATACCGCAGTGAACATGCCCTGAAATTCAACTTTGATGCGACAAATAACATGGCTGAGTATGAAGCTCTGCTACTGGGTCTACAACTAGCATTAGAGTTGAAAATCAGTGCAATTCAAGTCTACAGTGACTCCCAGCTGGTGGTGAACCAAATCAACTCTATTTGCGAAGTCGTTGATCCTGTGATGGTAAAGTACGTAGCCTTGGTAGCCGAGCTGAAGTGCAAATTCCAGAAATTCTGTCTGAGTAAAATCCCCCGAGCTGAGAATGAACAGGCAGATTCACTTTCCAAGTTTGCCTCTGATAGCTCTTTAAGCTCCAGATCTGTTTTTGTAGAGGTCCTAGATGGACCAAGCTTCATGAAGCCTCGTGTGATGGAGATTAGCACAGACCCTGACACGCCGAGCTGGACTGATTCGATTGTCTCCTTTTTACGAGATGGGATCGTACCTGAGAACAGACAGGAGGCAATGAAATTGAGGAAGAAAGCATCTCGATATACACTCGTTGATGGGGTCCTGTATAAGAGATCTTTCTCACTCCCTCTTCTACGGTGTTTAAGTCCTTATGAATCTGAATATGCACTTCGGGAGGTGCACGAAGGTGTCTGTGGAAGCCATGTTGGTGCCAGGACTCTGGCTCACAAAGTCTTACGGCAAGGATATTACTGGCCAAACATGTACAAAGATGCCACTTGCTTTGTTCAGAAATGCCCCAAATGTCAGTTCTTCGCACATCTGACTCATCAACCAGCAGAAGAGCTCACGAACATGGTAGCCCCGTGGCCATTTGCTCAGTGGGGACTGGATCTTTTAGGCCCATTCGTGAAAGGGGTTGGTGGTGTAACTCATCTGGTTGTTGGTGTGGATTATTTCACGAAGTGGGTTGAAGCTCGACCTTTATCCAGTCTTACCTCTAAGAAAGTTGAAGACTTTGTTTTCAGTTCGAT